AAAGAGAAACGTGTAAAGTGACTGACTTTGGAATGGCCAGGAATGTCCAACAGGAAAACATTTATGAAAGAAAGACAAGGGTATCTGAGTTAGGAACTAATAAGATTAATTAATTATAAGATAAAGGGAATCTAAAACTAGGATTTACATTCTATTATACATCTTCCATGCCTCATATTAAGGCAGCCACACGGATTTCGAGCATTTCGAACTACCCTTGCATTGTAAAACCTACTTTATCTTAGTAGTATAAACATAACAACTTTCTTTAATTTTCCAGACATGCTTCGACGGTACATCCGTCATCTTCAGTGTTTTTTATTTTGAAATCGCCGTTGAATTTAAAGCGCGCGCGAAAGAAAGTTGTTATGTTTATACGACTATCTATATTGTTGCTGCTATCTAGACCTTTTGTACGTTATCATTCTTGTTTTGGCTAATAATTAGTACTGTACCCATTCTCTTTAACGTACTTCCCTACGAAAGTAGGTTGCCTTCTAGATAAGGCTTCTCAAACTTCTATTTTACTTAAAAATCTTAATCTCAAAAATAAATTTAAAGATGTCTTTTTTACTCGTTCTGCGTCTCATCGTTTACCGCCAGGGACGTCTGCCAGTCAAGTGGACTGCATATGAAGCGTTGATGTTTAACACTTATACCACCAAGAGTGATGTGTGAGTTAATAGAATGGAAATTGTCTGGAAATACAGTTCATGATGTTGAATGTTATTGAGTAGTTCTTGTTTTGTTTATTTTACAAATCAACGCTTGCACTTTATTTGCAGTTGGAGCTATGGCGTTGTTCTTTATGAGATTTTTACTGTAGGTAAGTTGTCGTTTTTTTTTTCTTGATTAAGGATCATGGTATTAGTCGTGGCAGTTTCTTTTGCGATAGGTTCTGGAGACGTAGTTTGTTTGAATTCCTGTATTTTCAGGTGGTTCTCCGTACCCGCGAATGGATGGCAAGAAAATTGCTGGCTTGCTTCAACAAGGATACAGGATGCTAAAGCCGCAGCACGTGGATGACAAATTGTAATAGTAACCTTTTAAATTAATGACAGTTTGTGGTTGTATACTATTTTTATTTTATTATTTTTTTGCACACTCAGTGGTAACAATAGATACTAGGAGAGGTCAATCTTGGATTAAAGGTGTCTTTGGCCTCTTATTAAGGAACATTTCGAGAGAAAAGACTAATCGAGATGAGATGATTTCATTCTCTCAGGTATCAAATCATGATGAACTGTTGGCAAAACGAGCCAAAAGCGAGACCACCATTCACTGATTTGACGAAACAGTTGAAGGACATGGAAAACCAGCATAAGGTGAGGTTGTCGTTACCTAGTGACATAAAACGTATTTCAGTGACATCAGCTGAATGCAATGACAACAATATAATTACTCGGCTATTAACCACTCTGAGGTTGCGCAGTAGACCTGGTCGAGATGGTTTCAAAGTGCATTTTGGGACTGTTTTTGGGGACGTATTTCCACATGGCGGCAAATTCGTCCTCCAAAACAGTTCACAATGCACTTTGATAAGAATCTCAACCTGGTCTCCTACCCAACCGCAAAGTGGCCAATAGGGCTCATCACTTCCTGTTAGCTAAGCTGTCAGCAAGGTTGGCCTATTCTAAATAGCAAGTTTAATCTCTTTTTTCTGCAATTTCTCAGTTACAGTGGATATGTTTTGGTTAAAGTTTACTCTTGGTTTAAATCTCATGTTCCTTTGTTTTTGGGTATGGTAATGTATGGTTTTGAGATTGAAACAAAAGAAGTAAAATTCAAAACAAGGATAAAATTGAACTTCAACAAATGCATGTTTCGTACATTGCATTTACCCGCAGAGCTACATGTACGCTGAAATAAAGAATAGCAATAAAGGGACAATGGTCGAGAACAGTAACGACCTTATAGCTTTTAAAGCCACAAGAAGATCCCGTTGAATATATGCACCGTACTACTGTGCTTTTCACACAGGAACTCTAAAGTTCAAAAGCTGCCTTCACAATTGCGTTTTTCGCTGCCGTCAATTATGATTACGATTGTAAACGTCGAACCGTGAAACACACAAAACGGACCGAAATCTACCAATCACAAATCACAACTGAACCATGACCTTTTGAACCCGTTGAAGTAAACTTCTATTTCCTAAGAGGTCCACTAAGATGATTTGACGGCAGCCAAGTTGGCTTTTGAACTTTAGAATTTGTGCGTTTTTGAAAAGCGCAGTTAAGAGATGTTTCATGAATTGTATAAAAAGGCGAGGGGAGAATAGAGAGCGGAAAAAATTCACCTGTTCTGATCATTATGATACATGGTAGAAAATTGAAACGAATGCATTTCATCCACAGAAGCTGATCAACATGCATATTTACGACAATCAGCAGTACGCAAAAGTAGAGGACTTGAACGTCTAAATTCAATATTGAATATGTGTTATATATATTCAGGAGCTGATATATGCTGCTAATTTCTATTTAGTTAGGACCGTTTGGCTCGCAAGGCATTTTAAGAAGATGAAAAATACTTCTGTTTAAACCATTTTTCCCTGTAGCTCCCTGTAGGTGTTATCGTTAACTTTTACGTACATTTAGCATAATAAATTTAATTGGGTACCTTCCCACTTCTATACAAGGGGTTATAATTTGCATAGTGAAACAGTTGCTTAAAAAAATCTGCAAATAAATGGCCTGAGCTCTAACCTTTGAATTCAGCTGTCACTCCGTCCTCGATCCTCCCCTGTAGATTGACATCTGCGATTTGGTCCATAAAAAAATACTGATGACGTAGATTTTTCTGGAATCTGGTTAACGAGCGCTTGTTAGTCGATTTGGTATGTGGTAGTTTTATTCGTTTAACTTAGTTCTGTGTACGGACAAAGATTAAATGAACACGCGATTAATTCACTGAAAAAAGTTCATCTTACGATAATAGACCTGGAGAAACATCAAGCAATGTGCACCTGGAACCCCGTGACTACTAGATTAATTATGTAAACAATATTTTTGATCAGCGTCATCAGTACGGAGTTTTTGTTGAGGGCCGACTTCTCTTCCGCGAAGCGTCCTGAGCGGCGAGGAGTAAGGAGAGACGGTTGTACTCTCTGGCGAGATAAGCTCTTGAAGATGATAAACATTTATATGAGATGTGTCGCAGTTAAAAATAGACGCCTTCTTAATTGGCCGGCATCTTGAAATTTACTTAAATGCCGATTTATGCAAATATATTTTGGTACTCCTTTAGACATTCTTTATTCTAAACTGTTTATAACCTCGCGTTTTTAATCATAAGTGTTTTTATCCCATGTTGCTCATGTCGTACTGGTCCAAAAGTCATAGAACCTCTCAAATAGACTCGTAGATGCGATGATAATAAAAGCATTCCAGCAGGATATAGGTACGAAAATTACTTTTTTAGTAATTTATATTTTCCTACGTGTTAAATTCATTTGTATTTTTGAATTTTTTCTTCAAAATTTTAAAATGTTTTCGATGTATATTTATATTTGTGTTTGTAGACGTTCTAGTTTAAATAGTATTTAAATACGATTTTGTAAGTTTTAATGCTACATATGCACTTCATGTCAATTCTCCATGGAAACAGTTAGTTTTGATGAGAGTCTTAATGTTTCTAAAAGTCAAAGTCTTGGAATGTAACAATTTTTCTTAAAATGTACTGCTGTTATTTAAACCATCGAAACAAGATTGTATCTGAATTTTTATACAACTGTTGAAATAAGACAGTGATAATAACATTTTGCTATAAATAAAATTAGCTTACCTTACGACTGTCTAACAAGTATATGTTATCATAAAAGGTGTTTTCACACTGGACTTTTCAAGTGCATTTGAACTGCACTTCAACGACTAACCTGTGTGTTTTTTACTTGACTGATCTTGACTAGTCGTACATTGTTGCCACAGAAACTTCAAAACCTCCAAGTGCCTAGGTGCACTCTTAAGTAAGGTCAAAACCTTCCTTGAAACTGCACTTATCCAATCAAAGCGTCGGAATTCAAGTGTCAGTCATCTCGAGCGACAAATTTCACTCTCGTAAGCGAGCAAGCGAGATTTGATTGATGAATGAGGATGCTAATATCCACGAAACTTAGGTAGGTTTTTCTCAGTTCTGCTTCATGAGCTACAATGTAGTTCAGCAATGTAACGATTTCTTTTTTTTTTCTCTGTATTTGACCGCGAAAACAACGTTAATGCAAGACGAAATGACCTACATATGTTTCACAACAGAGCGATTTCCCTGTTGTGCGTTTTGTTGAATGCAGTTTATTCTTTTTTCAACTCGTTCAATAAGCAACAAGCAACATTATTTATTATTTACTTCACGTCTAATGAAAAATGCAGGAAGCCACTACATTTACGCAAGTAAATTCAAGCGAGCCAGGAAAGTGCATGCGAAACGGAAGGAACAGAACGGCTCTAGCGTGAGAGTGAGGACCAAAGTAAGAAAACTAAAAGCGCTCATCGACTGAAAAGTGAGGAGGGATATAGAGTGACATTTGCGACAAGTATAAAGAGCGGTTTGTTGAAAGCGTTAGAACGTCAGCCGATAGAAAAAAATACATAATCTGCAATACGATTTTTAATACTTGAAGCAACGAGCTCAAAATTCTGGCAAGGAGAGCTTTTGGGACATCAAAGAAGGTTTCCCCTACTTCGATCTCGATGAAACCATCCGGCTGTTCCATTGTTATCCTTTTATTCTGACACTGTTCAAGAAGACTGTTGTCAATAAACGGAAAATCACTCTTTGCAATACTTTTACGGTTCTTGTCTTCGCAGACGTTTTGAGTAAACACATGCACGGCAGCGTTTTCTCGTGTACTGAATAAACTCCAAGAGACGGATTAGTTCCCGCCAAAACTCCTCACTTTAAGGTGGTTGATTACAGTTTTGGTGGCGTTCAGCGGTAACGCGCGTGACGGCGCGTGTTTCAATTATTAGACAAACAAACATAGCGGATAAAAAAGCAATGGTGCATAGAAGACGATTTCTCAAAACCTAGTCATGAAAATTTTATGAAATTTGGCAGAACTTTTACTTTTATCGTATTTTAAATAATGAGAACTTTAAAATGAAAGTTGAACAGACGAATTTTGTGAGACATTTAATAATTACAGCAGTGCCGGATCCAGACCTTGAGATAAGGTGGGGTCGGGACTCAGTTTGGTCTAAAATTAAAGGGGAGGTGGGCCCCCGGGCCCCTCTCCTGGATCTGCCACTGTACAATCCAATTATATTACTGATTATCAAAGAACCCGTCTGTTAAAATTTGGTCAAATAACTTTCAAATGGTAATGATTAATTTTAGTAAGCTGTGTTTATATTTAAAGGCAAATCTAATGACCGAATTTTATGTAAACTGAGCAAAAGTAAAATTTTAAGGTTGTTTTCAATAGTTAACGTTGCCATGGAAACTACGAAAACGTCACATTTTATCTGTCAAACAAATTTTTCAACAGTATATTTTTTACTTGTCAAGTTGCAGCTTGTGAGCTGCAACGTTTCTCTTGCCATGATTTGGCAAATAACATATACTCACAAACTGCCAAAACTGTGTTCAGCCACCTTAACTTAAGTGTAAACGCCATTTTTTACTTAAAAGCTGAGTGCACTTCGAGTGCCTTTCAAGTACACTTCAAGTGCACTTTAGGCTTTAGTGTGAACTCACTTAATTTTACGTACTAAATGCGATGATGAGTGAGATTTTAAATTCTACATGGAGAACTTTGTTAGTATCTATTACGTAATCACGGTCATGGGAGAAAAAGAAGAATATATAAGTAATTTTTATATTTCTCTGTGTAAAGTAGATATCGTTACTTGCTTTTAATGAGTGATTATATCTACTGCCTTATCTGTATCTACGGGTATTTTGGGGCGTCGATAAAATCCGGAACATGGAACATTCCGGAACATGCCGGAACATGCCGAAACTTCCCGGAACATGAAAAAATAAAAGTAATTTTCATGAAAAAAAAAAAATTAAATAAAATGATAATAATAACATAGTTTTTGTAAAAATTAATAATAACAAAATAACATAAAATAACAAAAAAAAAAACGAAAAACAAAGAAATGATTAAGAAAAAGAAACTCATCTCCGAGTATTAGAAAACAATATTTTGTCGCAAATAATTTGTTGGGCGAGTGAGGTTCCATGCAAATGACAGTAATGAGTGAAGGCTTGTTTCTAAATTAAAAATATATTAAAATGGGTTGCGAGGAGGGGGGTTCTCAAGCTTTACTCACACAGCTACCTCTTGTACATGTTTGCCATGCGGTTTAACGGTTACTCATTTACGGCTTTGCGACCGTAAGAACACCTTAGGGGCTCGTCGCTTTGGACTTTAGTAACGTAATTACCGACTCGGCTCGACATGGCATACTGCACCGACATTTCAGACCATCGCAGAGCCGTAAATGGTTAACCGCCAAATGATTAACTCATAGCAAACAATTACAAGAGGAAGCTGTGTGAGTAAAGCTTGAAAACCCCCCTCCTCGCGACCCATTTTAATATATTTTGAATTTAGAAGCAAGCCATCACTCATTACTGTCATTTGCATGGACCCTCACTCGCCCAACAAATTATTTGCGACAAAATATTGTTTTCTCATACTCGGAGATGAGTTTCTTTTTCTTAATCATTTCTTTATTTTTCTTTTCTTTTTTTTTTTTTGTTATTTTATGTTATTTTGTTATTATTAATTTTTTAAAAAACTATGTTATTATTATCATTTTATTTGATTAATTTTTTTTTCATGAAAATTACTTTTATTTTTTCATGTTCCGGGATGTTCCGGCATGTCCCGGAATGTTCCATGTTCCGGGTTTTATCGACGCCCGGTATTTAGCTGCTTGTTACAAATTTAAGCATATCTAAATAGACGGTTATCCCCAGATTTCGAAACAGCTCAGCAAGGAGAGGTGGAAAGGATACACACTGAGTCGGTGTTGTAATCGTAACGTTTGTTGATGTAAGTGATAAGAAATTCTACAACAGTACTAACACAGTAAGGATTACCGGGTGGTAAGAAATGCGTGGGAGTTGCGAAAGGAGTTGCCTCGCGAATAGATGATGCACCAGTTCCGAAAATAGTTACATTTCAAAAATCCTTTACAACCGAAAATCAAGAGAAGACTATCTTTCTTCTGCAAAGATCCCCTGCAGGAATTTTCAAGAACCACTAAAAATCCGAGGAAAAAAAGGGAGTTTAAGTACCATTCTTTCTTTAAAATTTCAAGAAATATTGACAGTCGTTATAGACAGGCCTGTAGAGAGGTACATGGAATTCTTGAAACATCAATTGTGCAAGAAAGTAAGAAAAATCATGTGCCACTTGTGCTTCCCCCCCCCCCTCCGTGAAAAAATAAACTAATAGTAATAAATAAATAAAAAGCGCTCCACCAGGGCTGAGGCTAGGGCTAAGGCTAACAAGTGTTATCTTTTTGAGGTCTGACAGTCTTCTATGTATAA